GGACAAGTTCATCTTCCCTGCTGATTTTGTGGTGCTGGACATGGAAGGGGGAGTTGAGATGCCTCTTTTACTGGGTAGACTTTTCTTAGCTACATCTCGTGCACTGATTGATGTTGAAAACGGGAAGCTCGAGCTAAGAATGAATGATGAGACCGTTACTATCCACGTCTTTGATTCTCTAAAACAGTCTTCTCACAAAGACGATTGTTTTAGTCTTGAAGTCTTAAGGAAAGAAAAAATGTAGCGGTTGAGGTTCCTGAAAAAGCAGATGATTGCAAAGAAGATAGTACCTCAAAAGTGGAATTGAAAGAGCTTCCTCAAACTCTAAAAGATGATGTCAAAGAGGTGAGGATGCCTCAAAAGAGGGGTAATCCTACAAAGAAGAAGGCAATGAGAAAAGAAGTGGTGAAACTCTTTGATACGAGTTGGAAGAGACACCGAGAGCCGAAGTTTGACAAGAGACACTGAGACTCTATCTCTCAGAAAAATCAATTCTTCAAAGAGTTCTTAACATGGCTTCATGGTTTGGAACAAATCTGGGAATTGTGGTCTCATACACCAAAGCATCCAATACCACCGGACCCTCCATTTGCTGAGTCATCCCACGCTGCTGAAGGAGATGACATGGAGGGTTGATTATATCTTCTTGCTGACGGAGATTTTGTATATTAGTTTATTTTTCTGTTTCGTATTTTTAGTTACTTTGTGTTAGTATATCTTTCTCTGATGTTTTAGCGTGCGCATTATAGTTTATCCTATATGCCACTGTTTGTTCCATTGTGCAGGTTTTTCTTCTTTCTTGTGGTTTAATTATTGCTGAGGACATCAATTCTCTAAATCTGGGAATGGTAGGCTTGCATCTTAGAACTGCTGAAATTCTTCTATCATGGGAGATATTCTAACTCTTTTAATTTTCTTAGTTATTTTTGTAGTATTTTGTGTGCCCTTGATTTAAAAAAAAAATGATCTGTTTTTCAAGTAATTCTCAAGTTTAAATGTGCTTATCTAGTTAATGTGCTTGACTGAATTCTTGGAAGCATGTTGTATGACTTTCTGGCAGGACATTGCATAAATACAATTGGATTACATGATTGCTCGTTTGCCTGAACTGATGTTGTGAAATTCTGATAATGTCTGAAGTTAATTTTCTTGAGTCTATATTGATACCATAGCTGTGAGGTTTGAGCTTAAACACTGAATTTTCTTGTTGAGAGATCTCACTGTTGTAACACTCTAGAACTTGATCTGTTTCTCTATTATGCATGCATTGGTTGAAGTGATAAAGGCATTTTGTTCTTGTTAGCTATTGGCCAAAATAATCCACCTGTATGAAAATTTTCCATTGCTAGCCCCTTGAGCCTGAACTTAATTTTGTTGATAAATGACCTGTGCCTAATTGATGGCTTAGCCTATATCCATGTGACTTACCTTGATTGAGATTGAATTACTGATGTGTTGAAAATAAAACAAAGAAATTGAGGTAAGCTCTACAAAGGTCAAGTAATTAGGGGATGTAAATTTCATCTGTGCCCTTAAAAAATAGGGGAAAAAAAGGGTGAATGTGCATAAAAGGTGTTTGGAAGGAATTAATTCTCGAAATTCTGTGGGAATGTTAGTGGAGCAAAACCATTGAGTTGAATGTGTTAAAGTGAAATAATATCAGTTTTTCAATCTCATTGTTGTTTGAGCTACGTCCATATATTCCTACCCTATAACCCGGCCAAGTTACAACCTGTGAAGTCCTTTGGATCAATTGATGCATGTGTTTGATTCTTCATTTTTAAGAATTTTTTAGAATATGATCAAGCCTATGGTAGTGTTATAGCTGTGATTGGTTGAGTGCTAATGATACCCTTAAACACTGAGTGTTGAGTGGACATTATTTATCTGTGTGAGGGGTAATCAATGTAGACTTGTATCTTTAAAGAAGCTGATGACATTGTTGGGAGTTTATGATATTGGGTCAGGCATGCATGGCATATTGTGTCTGAGAGTGTCTATGGATTGTTATGTTGGATTAATTGAATATGTCTTGGATTGAGTCTTGTACATTGCTGGGGACAGCAACGTTTAAATCTGGGAATGATTTGATATGCCTCTAGCATATGTATGATTTTTAGCCAAAATGAGAAAGAAATCTTGATTAATCTTGGAGAAAAAGGGCTAGAATTACTATTAATTTGATAAATCTCAATCAAAGATTGTGCAGCTGATTTCCTTCTAATTTTGTAGGAAAAGAAGACAAAACTGGAGCCAAATGGAGACTTGCCAAAATGAAGATCCACGCTCATAGCGTGGATTTCATGCTGATGGCGTGAAGAACCAGAGACTCCCACGCTCATAGCGTGGAGTTCACGTTGATGGCGTGAAACCATTCTTTCTCCCACGCTGATAGCGTGGAACTCACGCTGATGGCGTGAAGATTCAGAGGCAGCCACGCTCTTGGCGTGGATCTGACGCTGAGAGCGCCAGTTTGCAAAAATCACAGCTCGTGCTTTTTAAAAGGGCAGTTTTGGAAGATGAAAAGGGGGACTATAAAAAGGATGCTCAGCACAGAATTAGGTATTCGGGACCTAAGGAGACCGTCGTGCGTCAGAAGGAGAGCTCCGGAGAGAAATTCTTGTTCTTCTTCTTCTTCTTTCTCTTTTACTTTATGTTTTTATGAATATTGGATTTTTAGCCATGATTATGTTTGGCTAGTTTTTTCTTTATTATAGTTAGGGTCACAAACCTTATGTGAACCCTTGTTACGACGGATTGATTTATAATTGCTCATTTATATAAATTGTCTTTATCTTTACCTTGTGCGTAATTATATCTTCTTTATTGGAATTGATCAATCTAGTAGTTGAAGATAGTTTGAGGGTTAGAACCCTAGATAGGAATATTGGGGTTTTCATCTTGAAAGGGGGTAAGATAACAATTAGTATGCATGCTAGGAATAGATGTATATTTAATTGCAGTTGCTTGAATTATCGTGTTCATTGCTTAAATCTCATGAGGGGTTACTAAGGGATTAGGATTCCAATTGAGATTAAAGGGTTAAATTGCCAAGGGATTTGAATTTGACTAATTAATTCTAGATGATAATTATCTGAGTATTTATATAAATAAATATTTTTAAATCAATCCAAAGTAATAAGTGGGGATCATATGGTGAGTGCGCTCTAGCTACAATGCTTTTCTCACATTTACAAAAATCAATTCTTAGTTATTTGTTCTACTTCTTATAAATAAAATTACAAAAACAAGTCTTTATTTTTAGTTCTCACTTTTACACAAATCGACAATAATTGTCACAAACCATTTGAACTCTTCAATTCTTCAAAGGAACAATTAATTGATATACGATCACAATCCCTGTGGAGACGATATTCTACTTACTTTCTATATTACTTGTGCGATCGGTATACTTGCCGGGAAGCATCAACCATATGTAATGTTAACAAACTTGTCTTAGATAGGGATGGCAAAACGGGCTCAGCCCACCGGGCCGGCCTGCCCCACCCTGCCAAGCCCGCCCGTGCTGAATTTTTTAATTTTTTTTTCTTTGTTTAGTGTAAAATCTGACGGGCTTGGCGGGCAGCCCGCCTCGACCGCCCAAACGGGGCTTGGCGGTTAGAGTTTTCTTGCCCACTTTCACAGGCGGGGCGGGGCGGACCAACCCGCTTTTTGGCGGGATTATGGCGGGCACGGGCGGGCAGCCCTCTTTGCCATCCCTAGTCTTAGAACATAGTGTTGCAAATTTTTTTCTGCTTCTCTGATTTCGTTGGTTTGTTTTTATTTTTTTTTGTTTTTTTTTTTGTTTTGCTGTTTCATTTTCTTGTATAAAAAAAATAATCAATATGAAAAATCAGTATTAATAAAGGAAATAATTAAATAATATTTTAATATATATTTTTAATTTATTTTGATTTATGATTCTATCTTAGGATTCACGACAAGTGACACAAAAAATAAATCAAACTATACACGATACGCATTCCGATTCAATATGATGTGCTTAATGTAAAAACTGACTGCTACATACTCTTAAAATAGCGATATAATTTAAATTGGGAAATAGTAGTCTCATGTTGTAGGAGGCTACTATCTTATGCTATAGACACTTCGATAAGTGTGCTGCTATTTTCTTTTCTTTTTTTTAGTGGTGAGTCCCATCATTTTGTGTCTTAGCATAAGATATGCTCTCTCCTACAAAATGAGAATAGACAAACCTATTTAAATTTTAACCAAAAATTGACACATCTTACATTTTATGATCAAAATTACTTTATAATAGTATTATACTCTAATAACAATGCTATTGGATTGGGACCTGTCAAATTCTGTATTTTCCACCATGTAATCATCATTGTTATCATGTGACAAAGCAATTCAACCACTCCACTTCGCTCGGTGAGTCTCCCTGAAATTCTACAGAGAATCAGAATAAGAAACTTTCAATTTGAAGCAAAGACTCAGATGTTTCAGTAATTAAAGTCACTCACTTTCAAAGTGATAGCAACTTACCAGCTACAATGAGTTGAAATGAAGATATGTCTCGAGTCAGAGTTCACTCTCTGTTGAGCGGAATTTGTGAATTGCTTAACTGATTCCCTATATTTTATTTATATGAAAATTATATTCATTAATTATAGGAACAGAAAATTGCAATATCTAATGTTGGAAATATACAAATCAAATCTTAAACTGATTGTAAATCAAATTAATAATATTGTAGCTCCTTCAACACTCATCATCAATCTCTACGCAAAATCACATTGTAATAGTTTCTTTCTTGTATTTTCACCATTTTCTTATTCCACTGTAGCTTTGCTTCTACTCTCTCTCTCTCTCTCTCTCTCTCTCTCTCTCTCTCTCTCTCTCTCTCTCTCTCTTTCCTTGCTTTAATGTGAAGCCTCTGGTTCCTTCTCGTTGCAAATTTTTCATCTTTGTTCTTTGCTCTATATTGGGTTGAATTTGTTTGGATTATCAGTGTTATATTTTAAAGAAAAAAAAGTGAAAGAAAACGCTTCAATGGAAAATGGGTCTATCTCAGAATCTTTAGACAGGGGCAAGGCTATGAGGGGTGGCAGTGGCAAGAGACATGATCCTAATGCTGCCATAGTTGAGCCATTTGTGCCAAGAAGTGAGCACAATCCTAAAGAGTTGAGGTCATGGGCAAAGAGAACTGGTTTTGTGTCTGATAACTCTGGGGAAGCTGGGACTAGTGCCAGTGAAAAGTTTGATAGTGTTGGGTTTGATGTAGAGAAGAGTGTTGATGATCAGAGAGATGGAGGGTCCTCTCCCAAGATAGAGATCGATCCAATCCTGGGGCTGGCGAGGCCCAATAAGGACAATGAGATTGAACCAGTTTCTGTGTTGAAGCATGGAGCCATGAGGAGTGAGAAGGACACAGTTTTGAGATCAAAGGATGCGTGGAATGGTAGAGTAGGGAACCAAAAACAGAGGAAGAAAAATAGGGATGAGCCTGTTTTGGCCTTGGTTGCTAATGATGACAAGAAAATTGGGTTAAGAGGGAATGGTGATGCTAATGGAATTGTGACTTTGAATCGTGATAACAATGGCCATGGAGTCCCCGCTGTTGCTCCTCTTCCCGAACAAAAGAACGAGGATCAAGGTGTAGGTGAAGAAGATGTTAAGGTGAATTTGTATCCGGAGGGGGAGGAACCTGCTGATAGAGGGTGGCAGGCACCATCTGAATTGAAGTACGGGCTTAGAGAAAATCCGGGTCTTGGTTAGTTTAATTTCATTTTTCTGTTTCTCACATTGCATGGTTCTTATCAGCATCTAAGTTAGAATGCTCATTTTGGACAGTTCTGAAAATAGTCTGGTTACCCTTATGTCCTAGTCTTATGTCTATATATTCATTGTACTCTAATCAGTTTCATTTATCATATAATCTTTGAACTGCCTAATATTATTGTTTCAGCAATGTTACTTTCTCATATGTGGTAATGTAGCTAAGTTCTGTGTGTTTGGGTGTTCACAAGCCCATAAGTCTGTTCAATTATAAGCTGGAGATTGTTCCTCATGTTTAAATCCACACATTATGAGTATGCCTATACCAAGGATGCCCTATAACTGGCCTGGTTTGAGTACTATTCAACAAGTTAACGCAGAACTCATTCTGGCCATTTATCATGTTGTTTGATATAGGGCTTTGAGAGCCTTTCCCTCCCACTTTTCCTAACAAATCATTGTCTTAACTAATTACTATGATACTATCTCATAAATAGAAAGTTTAATTAGCTAAATCCTGTTCTCTGTTAAAATTTATCAATTCTTTTTGACTTACATCTTAGTGTCTTCAACTGCAGTACCTCTTATCTATTACGGCCTGCAGCACTACCTATCATTGATTGGCTCGCTAGTATTAATCCCATTAATCATGGTACCAGCCATGGGTGGAACAGATGTAAGCGTATACTGTTATGTAATGGTTGATGCTCTTATTATGCTCTAGGAATAGTTTTCCATATTCATATGAATTCACTTTTCCATCAATGATTACAGAAGGATACTGCTAACGTAGTTTCTACAATGCTGTTTCTTTCTGGCATCACAACAATACTGCATTCCTACTTTGGTACCCGTCTACCTTTAGTTCAAGGGAGCTCATTTGTGTATTTGGCACCAGTATTGGTTATCATAAATGCTGAAGAATTTCGAAATCTTACAGAACATGTAAGTTCACTGAAAACAGAAGATGTTAAGCTCTTTCAGGCTTGTATAATTACATCAAGTAATCTAAATCCCGGTACACTATCTGCATTTCAAAATACTACTTCCTGGAAAACAAATGTTAGGATTTGTTAACTCGCATGATACCTGTGCTTAAACTTAATATTTGAATCACCAGCATAATTTTTCCTTTCCCTTTCTTTCTGCTTTGATGCATCTGCTATCAGAGTTCTTTGTTTGTTTTTGTTTCAACCCAGTGAAAGATATTGTTGTTCACAGGTCACATGTAACTTTGGCTTTTCTTCTTCTAGTTGGTAATTATTCCATGTTTTGATATCAATGCCTGCTTATAACTGCAGAAATTTAGGCACATGATGAGGGAACTCCAAGGAGCTATAATAATTGGTTCAATACTCCAATGTATCCTGGGATTTAGTGGTTTAATGTCTCTTCTTCTCAGGTAACAAGAAGCTGAATGTGATCTTTCTTGGGTTCACCCGAGCTTAATAAATTTCTGGTGGGAAAGAAATGTGTTTCATCTCTTCATGTTGATTTTAATACGTTTATTTATTTTGTTAGTTTGCTAATCTGATATCTTGTTAAATAAAAATGTGTATGCATCCATTTCCGTGTTAATTCATTGTCTCTGACATGGCTCTTAGAAAAATTAACATGATTTACTCATTCAGAAAACAACAAAATTGGAACAGAATAGGCCTTTTATGTGCAATTTAAAGCACATATTTTGATGGGATTTTATATTGGTGAATGAAGTGAACATAATAGCTACTAAATTTTTATCAAAAGAAAGTTATTAAGACTCAAGTCTAACGTAATTCTTTGCAATTTGACAACAATTTGTTATAGGGTAATCAACCCAACTGTGGTGGCTCCAACTGTTGCTGCTATAGGTTTAGCATTCTTCAGCTATGGCCTTCCACAAGCTGGCACTTGCTTGGAAATTAGCATTCCACTGATAGCATTGGTTCTAATATTCACACTGGTGAGTCCTGACCCAAGCATTTCAAGCAGCACTGATATATCTGGTATTTGAAAATTCTTTCATGTGGTTGCAAAATTGCTTCTTGTCATGCTCAAAAGGCTGTTTGTGGCTGTCTCTTTTACACAAGCCATGGACATTAGACCTTTTACTAAGTGATTTCAGTACTTCTCTATATTTCTTCCTTTTCTTTTTCTTTTTCTTTTTTAAATGTTTCTTCCTTTTCTTATTTGAAGCAGATAAAATTATTAATATATTTTTACCTAACAACTTAAGTTTTTAGGACAGTTGGTTCATAACATTTCAAAACTCATATTGTTATTTCTTCTTTTTTTTATTTCAAGCATCTTCGAGGAATATCTATATTTGGACACCACATGTTTCGGATTTATGCTGTAAGTACCTTAAATTAAGATGTTACTTGTTTGAGTTGTTTTTTTTTTTTTTCTTTTGTTACATGATATTCATTATGTCTAATTTTATGTGCTCACTCGTTTACCAAGTCACTTTCATGCTAGAAGTTTAGATGATTCTTCTTTTCTGACATGAATGCTTATACTTTTCTTGCGCAATGACATAAACAAGATTGCTTGTTATGCTGTTACCTTGCGCATAAAAAAGTAATATTGTTAATAATTTGCTGGGTGCAATGCGTCTGATATCCTTTCTAAACTTCAACAGTCCTACACATTGTGATGAAAGAAAAGAAAATTACTCAAGCATGAGTTCATTCAAACCAGTTGATATCTGTGGTGCCAGTTTCTCTAGATAGCTAATCTTGAAGACTTTAGTAAATATCACTTCAAAGTTTAAATTAGTCAGGACTCTAAAGCAAAGCTCCTGATTTATTGTGAAGAAATTAAATTATATATGCACGCTCTGATAGACATTTCTTTTTTTTTTTTTTAGACATTTCTCGATTATCTCTTATTTTCCATGTAATTAAGTGTAGGAGATAAATAAAATAGTTGTTGAGAGTACTAAGTAAATTTTCCTTAATTAAATGTGGATATACTAACAAATTCTGTTGACGAACTTTTTAATATTTGCAGGTTCCCTCGAGTGTTACAATAGTTTGGATATATGCATCTTTTTTAACAGCAGGGGGAGCATTTAACTACAAAGGATGCAATCCCAATATCCCAAGTTCAAACATTCTTACTGATGCATGCAGAAAGCATGCTGATACAATGAGGCATTGCAGGACTGATGTATCCAATGCATTGTCAACTTCTGCATGGCTCAGAATTCCTTACCCATTACAGTGGGGGTTTCCTATTTTCCATTTTAGAACTTGCATAATCATCGCCATAGTGTCTCTAGTTGCCTCTGTGGATTCAGTAAGTACATTATTTAAATGCTTGCAAGTGCAAAATATCATCTACTTTAGACTGAGAAATTCAAAAGGGGGAAGCAAAACCATTACAAACATTAACGATATTTTGTCCTTAAATTCAATAAAGTGGCGCACACCCACACCCACACACAGAAACAGATAACTATTCACTTTATAATGAGTTTGGGAAAACTCAAAGCACCATCTCAATGTGATGCCGAAAGGGTGGTGGGTTCAATTCCTGAGAATCGCAACTGTTGAGGAGGATAGTGAGACTCAAACCTAAAATCGGATTAGTCAAGACCGTTACAGTTTTGGACACTGATTAGCATCTAAAAAATTGCATGTTATGTCACAATTGCAAAGGGGTGGTTATCTATCATGAAGGTCCCAAACCCCGTTTTAAAGCTCAAGATGAATTTTCATGTTGAAAGCAAGGATCAAACATGAACAGGACATGAAACTAAAATTGTAACTTATGTGAATGGTATGTTTGTTTTCCAGGTTGGAACTTATCATACTGCATCTTTGCGAGTTAATTTGAGGCCTCCAACTCCAGGGGTTGTGAGCAGAGCGATAGCATTGGAGGGTTTCTGTAGTATCTTGGCTGGTCTTTTGGGTTCGGGTACTGGATCAACAACGTTGACAGAAAATGTGCACACAATTGACATAACAAAGGTGGCAAGTCGGAGGGTAGTGGAAGTTGGAGCAGCTTTCCTGATTCTATTCTCATTTATAGGTAAAGCAACAAAACTTGGTGACATAATCACATAAATCATAATTGATGTGTGTAAAGAATTAATTCAAGCCAAAAACTTAAGTTGGTGAGTGAGGCTACATTATTGGTTGTATATATCTCTAACACGCCTTCTCATACAAGAACCCATTAGGTTTGAAGGGTGGATAATGCACACATTCACCTACCTATGCTAAGAAATTTCTCAAAAAAAAGTTGGGGGCGGTGAGGATCGAGTCCGTGACACCAAAGTTCTGATACCATGTAAAGAACCAATTCAACTCAAAAGCTTAAGCTGTTGGATGAGGCTACATTAATAGTTTTATATATCTCTAAGAATGTCATTCAAAATTATTAAACAGATATATATTTTCATTCCTCTACTATATATTAATTTTTGATGCATTAGAATTAGTTCTCTGATTGTGACTGTTATATCAGATTTTATATCTCAGTAGAATCTGAATCCCTGATGGTTTTAAAATTATTTAGATACCTCACCTGAAGGAAGTTTGGATATTTTCTGTACAACATGTCAACTTGTAGTCTTGTCCAATTCATGCAATAAAATGCTAGTGTGGTACTATCTATCTATGCCCTTTATTTTGTAGGAAAAGTGGGTGCTCTTCTTGCTTCAATTCCACAAGCCTTGGCTGCTTCTGTACTGTGTTTCATATGGGCTCTTATTACAGCATTGGGCTTGTCAACCTTACAGTATGGTCAATCAGCAAGCTTTAGGAACATAACAATAGTTGGCGTTTCATTGTTCCTTGGTCTATCCATTCCTTTCTATTTTCAACAATACAACCCTCAATCCAGCCTGATACTGCCTGCTTATCTGGTTCCTTATGGTGCTGCATCTAGTGGACCATTCCATTCAGGCTTTGAACAAGTAAGCACTTCTCTTTTTAAACATCCCTTGCCTCCAATAAAAGTTAAGAACTATAAGAAGGAACAGCTTTTATAAGTTGTATATGAATCTGTCAATCATCAAGTTTCATTAATTCACAAGCTTATGACATCTGTGCTGATTTCTCCTGATTTAAGCAACTCTAGCGGCTAAATCTGCTAGCGGCTAATAGTGCAACTCTAGAGCAGGGGTAAAAATTACTTCTTTGATCCGGAAGATATGGCTTCAAATTCTAGGATAAGGTTGTGTTAGGGGTGTGTATGGTTCCGGTTCGGAAAAAATGTTCTGTTCTTAAATTGGCTAGAAAAAATATGGTGTAGTTCGATGGTTTCGTTCGCAGTTTTGTTTGGTTAATTTAATTTTTTTTCATATTCCTAAGAGAGGAAATGGTTCGGTTTAAAAATCGAAGCGAACCAAATCGGTAAGGTTGTCTGATTCAAGAATTGAACCAATTTCGAGAAAATGATTCAATAATTCTTAAACCGGTTCAAAGAAAATAATTCGATTCTTTGATCAGTTTGAAAAAAATATGATTCTTTCAATGCGATTCAGATTGGTCAATTGTTCAGGTTGGTTCATTTTTATTTGTTTATCCCTACACTGTATATAAGGATTGCTCTTGCCTTACACTAATTAGTCAAAGTTTAATGGAAAGTAATTTTAAAATTGCAAATTTTTTTATTTTTTTTAAAGAGAAGATGAACTAACCTAGCATACCCAAATATTTCAGCTTGATTTTGCAATCAATGCTCTTATGTCCTTAAACATGGTGGTTACACTGTTTGTGGCAATCGTACTAGACAACACTGTCCCAGGAAGTCAACAAGAACGAGGGGTGTATATATGGTCCCGAGCTGAAGACTTTGCAACTAATCCCTCACTGCCATCCCCATATTCTCTGCCAAGGAAAGTCGCTCGTTGTTTCTGTTGGGCAAAATGTTTGGATGTCTGAATACTAGGTGATCTCTGTTTTCTATTAGGCTTAAATATCTTTTTGGTCCTTATAAATAAGGTCAATCATTTTTTCTTTTTAAAGGAGAAAAATTTTCTTCTATTAATGACTCATGGTATAAATATATCTCATTTTAATTTTATTTTTCTTTTCACTATTTTATAAATCTCACTTATGTCATGAGTTATTGGTAGAAGAAAAAAATTTCTCTTTAAAAGAAGAAAAAAAAATCGATAAACAAATGAAAAATGTAAGAATTATGTAATAGAAAGAAAAATTAATTTCCTACAAACACAACTTTTCATGGAATCCACAAATTTAAAAAAAAAAAAATAGAAAGAAATAGACACTATTATCGATGAAACTTGTGAGTGCAGGAAAAAAAAATTTCCTACTTGTTACATAACTAACATTTCCCTAAATAAATATACCAAAATTGGTTTTATTCTCTCTAAATTTTAGTTTTAATTTATTTCCTTGGTTTTTTAAAAGTTAAGCACTTTTGGTCCTAACTATTATCATAAATCCATTAAGCACTAACAAGTCAAAAGGAGTCTCAACTCAATGATAAGTTACCCATCATCATTTAACGAATTTATATATGATAGTGGCTTGGATCAAAAGTACTTATTTTTAAATAATAAGAAAAACAAACTAAAACGCAAATATAAGTACTAAAACTAAAAGTTAGTATATTTGAAGGACCAAAACATATTTAAGCCTTTGTTTTATTCATGGCTCATGGTAACATTTTCTGCTGATTTTGCTTGTTAATTTTTTCTGTCTTGTGGGGACCAGCCTGGGGAGAAAAAGATAAAACAGAAAGTCATAGCTTGGAGCCTTGGAGATTAGATGATATTGCAGCTCATGAAGAATAAAGATCAATATACATGGGTATAATTACAGCGACACCAAATAGGACATATAGTTTACCACTAATTATGATTGTGAAATTACACGGCTGCTTTTACATACATCAATTTTTGAACTGAAAAAAAAAATGTTGTACTTCTACATTTATAATTTTTAATCACTTCATTGTCCATTTTTGTAGTTTCAGCTTGAAATTTGGAGTTGCAATTGATCACTGACGATTGGAAAAAAGAAAAAAGAATAAAAAAAAAGGAGGATATATTTATGGTTGTAGCCTTTAGACTCAACCCTCTAATGACCCGCTAGGAGTTTTATTTGAGGATATGGATTGGTTCATCAAAGGAAAAAAAGAGAAGAAAATAATAAGTTTTTTTTTTTCGGAGAATGAAAATAATAAGTCATAAACCGCAGTTAATCTGCTTTCCCTTTTGTTTTCCTGAACTGAGGGGGTTGGTGTTATTTCTATATAAGTTTCATGACAGTGAAATGTTATTTCTTTTTTATTTTCCTGAAACTTTGGCCTTGTGTACTCTTTTAAATATTGAAATTAAATTATGTCAAAACTTAACGGAAATAAATTAATTAGTAAACTAATTATTAATTTTTTTTGTTAATTAACTAATTATTAATTTATATAAATTGTAAAAATATATTTAAAATTTAAAAGAAGTTACAAGTATTTACTCTTAATTCAAGGAATATTGTGATGTTATTGACTCTCCTATGATGCTTAATTTACATATATTAAAGGAAAACTATGGTAGTTCACTTGCTTAAATTGAGATGCTAGTATCATTGGTAATCTTGTATAATGTACTAAATCAATTATTTCTTTTGAAGTTTGTGAACTTTCAGACCCGGTGATGATAGTGCTAGTAATGGCTGAAGATAATTGTGGTAGTTGACTAACGGCGGTGGTGGTTAATGGTTATGGTGGCTAGTTGGTGGTAGCCAATGGCGATGATGACAATGGTAAAGGTTGGTGCGATGGTGGCACCTGAGGGTAGCTAATGTGAGTGATGGTAGGCGGTGATCAATGGCAATTGTGGTGGTGGCTTGTGCCTAATGCCTGGTGGTTAGGGGTGGCGGTGGCTCAAGTTGGTGGTGAAAGGTGGCCAATGGCAACAACGATGGTGGTGGCAGCAAATGGAGGTGGGTGGTGGAGGTGACGACGATGACAGATGGCAATTATTGGAACACCCTGTTATCGGACAGGTGCATTAACATTGATTATGATATTAATCGCAGTTACAATCACAGCAATTTATTTAAAATACGGAAAAAAAAATTTCTTTTTATTACGTATGCGATTTAAACAACCGGATTACACAATATATAAAAAAACTATGATCGCAAGTGAAATCTAAATATCGAAGTAATATTCTAAATGCCTAACTATCACACAACATTTATTTTAAGTTGCTAAGAGGTTCCCATAAACTAACATAGCACAAAACTCTTTTTTCCAACTTTACCAAAACAAAGTGTGCTTCAGTTTTCTCAAAATTGGGCATGATTCACTCATCAATAAATTCCCATCTTTTATTATGTTAAACTAGACTCTTCCACCTTTCCAACAAGGTATCACACGCCTCATTTGGAGTTCTCTACCGGTTATATCCATTTGAAGTCTGACAAGCAAAACTGTCAACTAACACATAACATCCCACACGATTTCTACAAATCTCAACGTTTCACTCAACTAATTTCTCTCAAAATTTTATATAGAATAGTAGACACCTAGATCTTCAATTTGGTATGTCATAATCTTAATTTGAGTAATAAATGAGGGAGATATTAATTTTGGAAAACACAACCTGAGACTAGTGTTTAACAGGTCTACGTTAGGTAGTCTCTGACTCTCCACTCATTTTGACCTACAGGGCGCTACACAACTTCAAATTACACCAAATTTTAGGAAAGTATAGCTGATATCTTAGGATTTAAAATGAGGTATGGTATCCTCATTTGGACATCTGTGGAGGGAGATATAGTCTCCCGAAGTTGGTCCTAAAACTGATCATTTTCTTAGAAGATTTGACTGCATATGCTTTGTTTCCTGAACTAATTCCCACTTACTCTAAGTGTGTTCTAATCTTGGTAGGGTGTTCTCCCCATTAAATCATATCAACTTTGTTTTCCTTGGCTTCAAATCTTGCTTATCTAAGTTCATCCTTTTAAACGCGTCCTAAAGGATTATATCTGCATAACTATTGGGATCTACGAAGAGTGGCACTTGCCGTGTTTCCTCTTAGGTACCTTCTTCTCTTAGGTAGTTTCTTCTGAGGTAGTTTCTTCTGGCACTTGTCGTGTCTCCTCCGACACCCAAAGCCCCACTAATCACATTACAGTAAAACATAGCTTTTGGGAATTCGTCGCCTATGATGCACGGACACGGACACGGGACACGACACGACACGACACGCCGACACGTTAATTCTAAAAAATGTCATATTTGGACACGTTGGGACACGTTTTGATATTAAATAAAAATTTTAATATATATAATATAATTTATATTTAATACATATAAGAGTCCATAATAAGTCATATAACCAATCAAATATTTAAATTTCATAACATAAATATAAATATAAATAATTTTTTGTACTTTGTTAATTTTTCATGTCAAATTTCATAACAGAAAAAAATTAATTTATTAATTATTTCTCTTATATTTAGTTAACAAAATAAAATTAAAATTAAAAAAAAAAAAAAAAACATGTCCGAGCGTGTCCTAACGTTGACTGCGTGTCCTAAAAAGTTGACCGCGTGTCCGAAAAACATGTCAGAACGTGTCGGAGAGTTGACCGCGTGTCCCCAAATGTTGACCACGTGTCGGACGCGATTCCGAGCGTGTCGAAGTGTGTCCGTGTCGGACACGTGTCCGACACGCAAAAAAAATTTCAAAGTGCGTGTCCGTGCTTCAATGTTCGTCGCTATTGGATTTCTCCTTCTTGTCATTATCTTCTTTCTTTCTTCTTCTTTTCTTTTGTCGGGCTTTTACTCTTACTGTGGCCCATTTGCTTTCTTTTTCTGTTCTTCCACCCGTGGGTCCTGATCAGGTACTAGCATAGCTTTCCTTCCCTAATGTGCTTCTCTATTGCATATATGAGATCCCAGCACTCGTCAGTAGTGTGGCCAGGTCAGTCATGAAATGAACAATATCTTGATCGGTCCAATCTGCCCTTATTGAAGAGTGGTCTGGGTCGATCTACTTTCTTCATCTAGGTCAAAGCTACTTCTCTCCATATTTAGGACTGAGGTATATTTAGTGGGGTGTACTTTTCATATCTTCCCCTTATAGGTCGATCATTTGAGCTTTTACGTTGGAATTCAGATTGTCTTCTGTTTCCCGATCGATCTCTTTCTCTTCTAGCCAGGCTCCTTCTTCGTGGACTTCGGGCTCTTGTTTCTTTATTTACGACATTCGCTAGCTCTATATGCTCCAATTCCAGGTACTTCTTTGACAGAGTTCTAAATTCCCCCGATGTTTTGACTAGGTCCTTGTAGATAGATTTTGCCAATCTGGATGAGCCATCTTGTCCGGCTACTACCAGATGTACATGCATGTTTTCTTGCAAACCTGGGACTTGTGATGCTTTCTTTTTTGAAAGGATCCAAATACTTTGAAGCATTTCGCTCGGCTGCTGCTTAATCTTGCCTAGTGTGAATTTTGACTTCAGATACTTCTTATTGGTAGCAAAATTCAGCAAGAACTTATTTACAAACTCTTCAAATGATCCAATTGAGTTTGCTGGTGATGTTGAGAACCATGTATGTGCCTATCCGATCAGAGTTGTTACAAATATCCGTGAAATGGTTGGCTCATCAATTCCCTTGATGTACATATCTATGTCAAAGGTGTCAATACGGACCTAAGGGTCCTAACTTACGTCATATTTCGGCAAGCGTGCTGATTCGAACTACTTCGGGTAAAGCGCATTCATGATCTCATTTGTGAAAGGGTTGTTGTTGTACTGCCCTCTGCGATATTTCCTTCTGTACATACCTCCTTCATCGCTACCAAAGTCTTGCGTATTCCTGTTGCACTCCACTACATCTCTATGGCGATCTGCTTCATCTCAACCTTCATCTCGATTTTGATCTACATTTCTGGCTCTGCCATCATCTCTACCTCGGCCATCGATCATTATCCACATCTCAACCACAGATATCTATCTCGTTTCCATTCCTGACTTCGTTCTTAGCGTCATTGTCGGCATTTCTATCGTGATGTACTTCTTGGTTTCTTTCTGTTCTTTTATGTCCTTCACCTCGGACTTGGCCTTCTCTATTTTCCGAATTTCTCCATTGCAGCAACCGCTCTTCAAGTTCCTGAATCCTTCAGGCATCTAATTGCCTCTGGAGCTGATTCTGGTTTTCCATGTAATCTATTCATTGCTGGATCGCATTGAGATCGGTTGCGCTATGCGATTTTCTACGTATGTAGCTGGAGGTGACTGGTGTGATGCCATAGGAGGTTGTTGTGGTGCTGGCTGACCCGGAGGATTAGGTGCTAGGGTAGAGGCTATGTCTGAGATGGCATCATTGACGTGTATAACGTCGTAATCAGGTGCATTGTCGAGATCATGCTCGTTGGGAAACTGTTCCACCAAAACAGGATTCACCGCAGCGGAAGGTGGCTGTTATTTCTTATGTTCACCATAATTGGTCATAAGAGTAGAAATTTACCTTCCCCACATACGACGTCAATATTCTATCCTTAAGACAGAGATGTCTAGTCAAAGATTAGTAAGTTTATGTTGGATCTATGGGATCTCTCAGATATCTATGGAGGAGATATCTTCGAGGTTAGCAGATCACTGTGTACTATGAGAAATGACTATATCAATGGAGTGGTGTGTTTGCACAATAATAGCATAACCGTAAAGAGATAAGGTGTCCATACTTGTAGGTTTTACGTCTTATTTATAGAGTTTACCCGTGAGTAGTAACATTCTGGGCCTTTGGGGGCTCTTCTGGGGGCCCATGTCCAAGTTCGCAGCTGTCACATTAGGATTAGCATCCTTGATCGGTGTTTTCCTTCATTTGCTTTATATTCCTTTTTCCATTGCCCTTTTTTGGACCTTCTAATCATGTAGGTCTGTAACAAGCTTGAAACTCAAT